GTACCTCAACTCTGGCAAGCTCATCTTTCAAGATGTTAGAGAGACCAAGGCGAAACTGATGGTGGAGAGCAGACTTGTTCCATTGAGTGGCGGAACTCCATATACGGAACTCTGTGACATATTCCTCTATAGACCTTTTGGCCTTGCTGTAGCTTGCTAAGCATAGATTCTGCAGTCTGGCGACGGAAGGGATCAGCGTAAAGTTGTGACATCGCTGAAAAAAAAAAAGAGTCCGTAGAAGTCAGAGCCGGATCATGTTGCTCACGAAGGTGGTGTGCCCAGGATTGGGGTTCATTCTGAAGGAGTAAAACAATCCCACTCTGGTGCTTTGTGATGCAAAGGTTCTTGGTAGCAGAGAAAAATATAGCTCACAGGAGTTACAAAAGGTTCGAAACCTCCTGCGGTCTCCCATGAAAAACTCAGGTATTGGAACCCGGGGTTCTGGTGGAGGAGAAGTTCCAGGAATCATGCTGAGCTCTGTCTGGGTAGTTTTGTCTGAGACTGCAGAAGGACCCATGGCTGTTGAGACATCTGACTTGGTTGGTAATTGGTTTTCCATGTGCTCAAGGTTTTTTGCAAACTTTGTGCCATGTAAGACAAGGCAGAGATTGATTGACAGATGTCCCCCATTGCAAAAGCCTCCCTTTCAGACTCCATCACTGGCTGACTGGTACTGTGTTATACCTGATTGGAGACTGAAATGACGAGGTCGGCCGCACTTGTGTCATTAGCCCTGACCCAACTGGAAGTGGAACAGAGGGTGTCTAGGGACCAGGGGGTCAAGAGCGCCAGCAGATGTTGTTTGCAGCTCTTGCAGTTGGAGACTTTGGAAGACTGATGAACCTCCGATTCAGGCAGTGTAGTAGTATGCAGAGCTGGTATGGTAGATTGCCAGGTGTGCACCAGAGCAAGGCAGGAAGCAGGGATAGGAGACAGGAGCAGTGTCAAAGGAATAGCTGGGGTCATCAATGGGCGGACAGCGAGGTGCCAAATCATAAGCAAGCCAAAGTTAGGAGTAGAGCCGAAGTCAGGAACCAGTATCAAGCAGGAGAGGAATCGGAGTCGGGTCAAGAACAAGCCGGGTCAGCAACAAGGAAATCACACATAGGAACGATCAGGAAAGAGGGAACAGCTGAAGACCAGTCAGCACTCGGCACAGGCAGAGGCACCTCTTAAATAGTCTGTCTGGCGCCAATCTTCACCGTGCGTGATCATGCATTTCTGTGCACATGCCTATTCACCAGTCGTCTCACGGGAATTGCCTTACACCCACACTCCAAAGACAAGCTGGTAGGTTAACTGGCTCCTGTCTAAACTAGCCTCAGAGAGTGTGTGAGTGTGTGTGTGTGTGTGTGTGTGTGTGTGTGTGTGGTGTGTGTGTGTGTGTGTGTGTGTGTGTGTGTGTGTGTGTGTGTGTGTGTGTGTGTGTGTGTGTGTGTGTGTGTGTGTGTGTGTGTGTGTGTATATACACAAATTAGCAATCACATTTTGCATTCCAAACCCATGCCGAGCAGTTGGGGAGGATTGAGGAAAGACCTGATGATCTACTTTTTGTATGTTTTAAAAAACAAACATGAAAATCCAGTGGTAAAGGTTTTTCAGTGCATTAGACATGCCACCTACAGAGCTGGCCTATAGAATTGTCAAGATACAAATGTATGAATAAACATACATATGGTATAACTGCTTATGTTCACACCAATGACCTTCTCTTCTTTTACGGTTAGTAGGTGGTTACTGACACAATCTTTGCTTTATATATTATATATGTTATTAGTATACCATGCATTATTTAGACTGTTCAGACAAATGGGTATTTTAGCATCTGTTTAGAGGTTGCTGAGAGCAACATCCATCCCGTCCCACAGGCTGGGGGCCATTGGTGGACAGAGAAATAGTTATGTTATCTTACCTTATAAACTGGGATCAGCACATTCACAAGAAATGTTGTATAAACTAATGTTTATTTTGAATCAAGTTTGATGCTTAAAGATTTGTTGCTATGTAACAGAGTGTTTCTTATCATACAACAAGACCCAAATGTGGTAACTGATGCCTCAGAGATATGTAAAATGCTTCCTGGCCCTGGTGTAATCCTTGTAAGCTCCTCACAGACACCACAATGCTGGAGGGATCGGCTGGAGCCGAGTACATATGGGATTTCATGTAGGCCTATGCAAATATCAGCTGTCACTCTCAGAGGAAAACTGCTGAAGGTAATGTAAACATATGTAACCCCCAGGGAGGAAACCGGCGTCTCGCCAATAACTGTTGATGTGCTGATATCTGCAGCTCCATCATTTTAAAGTTAGCATACTGTTTAAGCATCATTCATAAGACATGCATATTCTTACACTGAGCAATATATCCTGTAATGCAAACTTGTAGTTTCCCCATATGGAACAAAGGATAACTTTTAATAACCAGTGTACTGTGGAACCCCAGGGTTCCTCCAGAACAGTGGTCTCCAAAATGCCATCTGTGGGCCAAATAAAGCCCTTTGATTGCACTCATCTGGGGATTGGGGCAATATTCCTTCCACTGATATGAAGCACTATTCCTCCTATGAACACCAACCATGAGGCGCCATTCTTTCCACTGATTGGGGCATAATTTCTCCAACTGTCATCCAATCCTGGGGTACTATTTCTCACTATAATATAAACAATTGGAGACTAATCCTCCCACTGAAACCAACATTGGGGCACAATTTCTTCCACTGACACCAATGATGGCGCAGGGCATTGCTCTTCCCACTGACACCAATGATGGGGCACTATTCCTTCCACTGACACCAGTGATGGGGAATAACTATGTTTTTACTCCCAATGACCTCCAAGCCTGGGGCATTGTTCACTCTCACTGATGCCGGGGCATTTTCTACTCCCACTGGCCACAGTCTGGCCTCAAAGTCTGGACAGGACAGTAAACTAGCTGTTCAGAAAGTTTGGAGACCCCCTGCTCCTGAACATACTAGGGTTTCTTTAAGCTGTGACTGATTGACATGTATCTGCAGAAACCCAGCAGCATAACACCAATGACCTTTTTAGCTGTCTGCAATGTTAGTATCTTGAACTCCAGGGTTGCATTCTTTCGAATGACCACCACTGTAAGGGACATTTTCCCCATTGACCCTTGTTTGCAGAGCTAAGGCTGTAAATCACAGGCTGTGCTGGAGCTCCCTCCCCGTCACCTTTTTATATCTTGGCATCAGGAAAACTTGTCAGAAGTGATCCTTGCTGATAGCAGAGGAATTATACAGCAGACAGAGATGACATTGAGTACTTTGGATAGGGCAAATACACAGTATAGATCAATGTGCTTTGTTCATATTTTATGTCTGAGGTTTACAACCATTTTAATGCAGCTGAAATAGATATGAAACCTTTCCTACCTGACAAAAGATTTACAATTCTATTAAGATAGTCATACCAGCGAGACTAGTGACTATATTCAGGTTGTAATGTTGTCAGGAATGGACTTGCCAATAACGGTGGAACTCACCTGCCTTGTGGGCTGCAGTACCAGGGCTGGCCAGCGGGTGCTCTCGGCAATCAGGGACTCACCGCTGCAGTCAGCCAAAACACCTGAAGCTGATTGCAGGGGTTGTATTTAAGGAATGGCCAGACTCAGTCATGGCCTTGGTGTGTGTTTTTCCATGGGCCCCTGTATCTTGTCACCTGCATTCCTGTTCCTGCCTGACTTGTTGCCGACCCTGCCTGATACTGACCTCTGCTGACTTCTCCTGTTTGATCCCTGGCTTGTGACCCTGACCATTCTCTCCGCCTGCTCCTCCTGTACCTACCTGCCTGATAGTTATCGACCTGGCCTGCCTAACTACGTTGTGCTCTACATGTGTATGTACCTGTGTATCTATATCAGTTTGGGTTTGTTTCACCTTGTTGTATGTATTTGTTAGCTTGGGGTTTGGTGCACTGCGTTTATATTTGTATTGTTGTTCTCAATAAATTATATTATTTACTATATCTGAAGCCTACGTTTCCCTGTGTCAGTCCACACACTTCTGGTCACACCCGCATCCCTGACAAACGTGTTATGAAAGGACCTCCCCCCAACTTTGACAGCTAGTGGGGGATCTTCTCCTCTGCTTGTTTGCACCCTCCTTCCCCCCACCCCTCCACTGCCACATTTTTTGGGGGGGAACAGGTACCGCGGCGAACGAAGCCAGAAGTCCGGCCCCCCTCCATCCCCCTGCAGTCTTCTGGGATGCTTCACAGGTCCCAGAAGACTACGGGACCATTCACAGGGCACAGTGTGACTTGCACATGCACAGTAGGAAACTAGTTGTGAAGCTGCAAGGCTTCACTTCTGGTTTCCCTTACTTGCAATGCCGGCACCAGGAACCCGGAGGCTAGTGAAGAACTGGCCCAGGTGAAGATGGTGCTGGACCCCTGGACAGATAAGTGTCCTTATATTAAAAGTCGGCAGCTACAGTATTTGTAACTGCTGACTTTTAACTTTTTGGGGGGAGCCTGGAGCTCCTCTTTAGGAATCTCCCCAACTGGGGCAAAGACAGACCAATACATGTTTTAGTAGTGTTTAAAAAGGTTTAGAAAATTTAAGACTGTTTTTTTTTTATTTTTTGTCTGTGAATTTCTGACCCAGTTACAGCTCCCTTAAGTTCCTATATGGGTCACAGGGACACCCATGAGGATCACAGACTGAAATAAAACCTGACCAAAATATTAACTCTTTTCCACTGAAAATCAGTGGTTGGAGTGAATTTATTTTTATTTATTTTTTAACGAGAGCTTAAATTTAAATTGCAGAGACTTTTTTCACCATATGTGAATATTTATTCCTTCCTGCATCTTTTTTTGGGGGCACTTGTGCTTTCCTTTCATATATCATAAGTTTACAGAAGCTAAAAGTTTTGGTGTTGGTTGGAACTAATTTTTTTTTTTCAGATTTCAGTTCCAACAACCCTGTGCTGTTTCATACAGTGTTACACTGATAACTGACTCGTATACATGTCACTTCTGCAGATTGGAACCAAAGGAACCATTAAACCTTCCCCAAACTTCAATGCAGCAGACGATGTTCAGAAGTTGCGGAAAGCCATGAAAGGGATGGGTGAGTGGCTGGATAGGGTAATATTTTTTTTTTTTTTTAGTTCAGAACTGTAACCTTACATGTTGGGAAATGTCCATGTTCTATAAAAAAAATATATATAAATGTCCTATGCCTTAAGACTTTTTTTATAAAGGTGGCTGGATGTTCACGCATGATCTGATTCTTGACATGTGCCTCCCCTGGCCCTTCCATAAACACAAAGGTTGGGCTTAAGCCTTAACTGAAAGCTTGTGTGTATGTGATGCAGAGCAATAGTTTGATTTAGGTTAGTGTTTGGGTCAAGGTCAGGGTCAGTATTTTTGGGGGCAGGGTTTTTGAAACTTTTTTTTTTTTTTTTTTTTTTAAATTCCTATCCGTGTCAGTGTGTTTTTTAGGTAGGCTAAAAAAAAACAACGCACTATTGTTTCTGAGCTGTACTACGGGTACATACAACAACTAACATGTACATATATGGTATTGTCTTGAGCAGAATTTTATTTTGGATTGATCTTTGGTAGGTTATAATAGCAAAAATATATACAGCTACATTTAAAAAAAAAAAAAAAAAAAAATTATATATATATATAATGTATGTATATGTAATATCATTTTTATTCATTTATTTTATATTTCAGGCCAGTTTTCCTTTTAGATAATAAAAAAAAACCAAGATATAATAACTATTTTGCCACCAAATGAAAGCTTCATTTGTCCTGCAGAAAAAAAAAAAACACGGTATAATCCACCTGGATGCACAAAGTAGTTGTTGTGAGATGTACAGTTTTACTAAAACAAGTCAAAGTTGCAAAATTGTGTTTGGGTATTAACATTTGTTTTACCCTTGGGTGGGAAGGGGTTAAAATATCCAATTAGAAATAATTTGTTACCAGACAACAGTAAAATTAGATCTGGTTGGTTGCCATGGGTCACTGTAATTTTGCAGATCATTCCTTTGTTTTCCTATTGAATAAACTTAGGATTCATAATGCAAAGTAGATAAATATGTACATGTTGAGCTTCTCTTGGTCAAGGGTCCCATATGCCGTATTTTAGAATGAGGGTATGCATGGTATTTTCACAGAACAGTGAGCATATAAAAGTCCACTGAAACATCAGAATTCCTTCTATTGTTCTTTAAGCTCTCTAGATAAACATGACTTTCTCACAACCCTAAAGGATGGTGCCCTTACAGACCTATAGTTTGCATTTAGTAGATGCATGCACAGAGGTAGGAAAGCTATTCCTTCAACTTATTGTGGTGTGGTAATAGGCTCTGAATGGCATTGTGATGCTCAGGGGTTGATTGGCTAACAGACTGTTCATTTTGCAAGGTAGAGTACACTTTGCATGGGAAATTTTTGTTCAGAGCTTAATCCATGAGGCGAAGCTCTGCTGACTTCCATTATCCAATCCTGTGCAAGAAAATTGCTTTTTTTAATTTCCTTGCTTGTGATTGGTTAGTTTTTTCACTACCTTCACTAAGCGCTGGGGAAAATTCCCATGGAAAGTCAGTATAGCAGCTTATTTGCCTTTAGTAAATCAACCCCCCTACATCATCTCTATCATCATGTACATGTGTCATCATGTACATCATTGGATATTCGTTTCTTGGCATTACGGAACTATACTTTATTAGAAGGTCTGGGCAAGAATGAAAATAATAGGTTCTAGGAAGTCAAGAACACCTTTTAAAGTAGCAGGGCGTAATCATAAACTAAACGAGATCAGCCAGGAATTACTACTAGGATTCATGCCAAACCGCATAAGTTCCAAGACAGAAATGGAGGTTAGGTTCATACAGGACAAGGCTAAACTGAGTTGGCAGCAGAGGTTATGATCATAAAAACAGCCACCAATCTATTGCAAATTCTACAATGGCCAACTACATTGTATTTGTAGGTATTGTGCGTCAAGAGGAAGTATATTCTCACTAAAAGTTCAGATTCTGTAGCAAGCAGAAAAAGTGATGCTAAATTTAAATACAAAGTTTTACTTTTGTAAGAACATGAGCCTTGAGCTGCCTGGCCTGTACCACATGCATTCAGTGTTCACATCCTTTGGCACTCTCTAATCCGTTAGTAGGCTAGTGTCAGATTAGTTCATAGTGAACCCAATTTAACACAATCTCCACCCCCCCTTATCAGTAATTACATTCAGTCAGTACCCTAATTTGAATTGAGGAATCTTATGTAAATGATATGTGTCATTTAAAGTATAACTTTAACTCTTTTGTAGTTTTGGGTAGAGTGGAGAGGGATTAGAACACCTATTAGGTTTTTATTGTTGTCTGTGCCATCATTAGGGAGATTCACCCCCCCCCCCTCGTTTTTGTCCTGTTTATCATTATCATAAAAAGTGAAAGTAAAAGAAATCCCCAAATTTTGGGTTATCCCCCAGAAAAGTAATCGAGGGGAAATTTTCTAGTGGGGACACTAGTTCTGGTGACCTGGGGTCCCCAATAAATTCCCCTAATTTGCAGAAATTATCTCATTTCCTGTTTTGGCTATGGGACAGGAAGGTAAATCTCTTCCATGGGACACAGATGGCAAAAAATACACTGACAGGCTATAATTCTCCCTTACTGTATGCAAAATGAAAACAATGTTTTGCCTGTAGTTTTAATTTAACTAGATTGAATGAGAAACAGACTCTCATATTTTGCCCAAATACTTTGTAGTTTTGTTGTTTTAAAAAGTTGTTATAGATTGTAAAAAGCCTGCTGTTTACTTGCATGGCAGAGGTGCCTATAGCTGAATGGGGAAAGGTGCTAGTGCTGGTGAACACCATAAGTGGTGGAAAAGACCATCCAACGAGTGTTGATAACCTTGATGAAACAATATTTATTAAAACACCAAAGACGTGTTTAGTGACCACCAATCACTTCGTCAGTTAATAGGTGTTATGCAGATATTTTTAAGCTATGTGGCATGGTATCTGTGTGTGTCATTTTAAAAAGCATCTTTTAAATGAAAGTGTCTTGTCACAAATACAAACATGTTAAGTAAAATGAAAACGGTTTTAGGAGGAAACAGAATATGAATGACTGGTAACAGTGAAGGCTGCACAGAAGGCTTGACTGGTGGGTGCAAGGAAGTGTCTTCTACTTCTATTCTTCTCTGTCCTCTCTTCAGGTACTGATGAAGATGCCATCATTGATGTGATTGCACAAAGAACCCTTGCCCAGCGTCAGGAAATCAAAACTGCTTACAAGGTCTCTGTAGGAAAGGTAAGACTGCAGCACAACAATTAATATATAATTTCAAGGTTTTGACTTGCATGGTATAGAACTCTAAAGCTTAGAGAGCCAATGGTACATTGTGAGCAACATTAATTACCCAGTGAAGTGTCACATTCCATGGTTTACTATAAATTTAAAGTATAGTCACAGCCTTCATAGAGATAATATTGCTCTGTTTCAAATACTGCTTTGAGCGTTTTTTCTATTTTGTAAAGTTCGCGGAGGTGCGAAAAACAAAAACCCATAAGTGACAAAAAAGTGCAAGTGCAAAACACAAAACGGTGTACTTAGGGGTGTGCTTTAGTCCACCCCCCCAGAGGGGTAAGACCTCTACGCTTATCCCCCCGGGGCTCCTGACAGGGACAAAGGTTTCAACCTGGTCTACCTAGCCAAAAGGCCTGGCGGACCCCTTTCCTTAGGGCTAGCTGAAGCCAACCACCAAGTATTAGATCAGGGAACTCTCCTGAAGAGAGACCCCCTCCCCCCAGGAACAGGGGAGGAAGGAACACAATGGCCATACATCCTCTCCCTAGACTTCAGGGCAGGTCCAAGGACCCACACCCTCCATCCTAGTGAGAAAAAAACCACAAGTGAAAGGTGACAAAACAGTGGGTAGAAAAATAAATAGGTGACCATGCAATTGTGCACTGGCTAGGCCCTGAGGCCTGTAGCAAAACCATTGCCCTGGACTTAGCCAAAAGGCCTAGCCCTAAAAGGCGCAGTGCAGAAAGTGTTTAGAACAGTGACTATGTACACTTTACCACTTGGGATCCCACCCCCATGTGTTACTAAGAGCACCCCTGAGGCGACCACTCTTGGGGCACTGCTCTGCAGACTCTCTGCCTCCCGGCCCCTGGCCAGACAAGGTAGACCCATTTGAATCGGGAGGAACTGGGCCCCTCCAGTTTTCCTAGGGGAATTACTCCCGGGCCCCAACAGCCTGTGGGCATCTTGGTTTTTCTTCCAGCCGGTACTAACCTTCAGAGCCCTCATCATACCAGCAGGGGTACTATACAGCCAGCCATCCTCGCCTAAAAGGAAGAATGACCCCGGCCACCCCTACTGGACACTGATAAGAACAGATACTACACTTGATCTTGGCCAAAAGGATGAGAATCATACGTTCTTAGACCCATTCTGACTGGAGAGTATGGTCACCATTCACAGGCAGCATAACTCTTCACTAGGCACAAAAGTTAAGTTCAATGCAGGTATAATAGGCTGCACACTTATGACGTCTGATTATTGATAAACAATCACATACGCCTATGATTAAACCCAGCTATGGGCGAAACATGTTAGGTGGTTTTAGGCAGAAGGATGGAAGTGTGTGCTGTATGTGCTTGTTTATTCCATAAAACTTACCAAAGATGCCATTGGTGTGTGGCCTGTTTTCCCTAAAACTTGCATGAAGTGGAACAGGCTAATGGACTTTGCCACCCAATTGGATCATTGTAATTTAGGATTTACCAGGTAGCTTTGGAGCAGCAGGACATGCTCAGATCATCCAATGCATTTTTTTCTTTGACATGCAGTACAAAGGATGTTTTCTAGTCTTTGAAGTGTAAGAAGACTGTTCCTAAGCCCCGTATCTGTGAAGAACTAACAATGACCGAGGAAACGTGGAAAACATGGGAATGGTCTAGTTAAGACTGCACAAACTAGCACTAAACAGGAGTGGAGGTCAAAGGGAGATACCACATCAAAAAATAAACAATTTGTAGCATCTCCAAACCATACATATCAGCATACATTGGAACAATAGTAACCTAATACAGTTTAATACAACAGGAAAAATACATATAGGTTGGACAGAACAAATATAAAGCCTACAAATATTACCCCATTGCTCAAAGTCTTGACAACATTCCATTTCTAATGTATTTAAAGATGTTACCTAAAACAATACCCTATATAGCTTGATAATAGCAATCAGTCTTCAGCCATCACAATAATTATCAAGCTGTTTCTAAAGTGGAAAAGGGCAATAAGGAGCTTCTTGAACAGTCAGAGGTTATCTCACAGGTTTTTTTTTTTAACTCCTATCTTCTGTGGAGCACTCACTTTGTAGAAGATCATAGGTGCAGAAGTACTACACATGCACTGCTGTCCAGTATTCTGGTCATTCAAAAAAAAAAAAATGTACGGGCCTCCATTCACATGTGCACCAAGGATGCATGCATGTATGTAAATCCTGCTGCATTGACCTCTATTGGGTGTATCTGCATATGCCAGAAAAATATTTCTTGGGCCATCATTTATGATTTACTCTAAGTTAAAGATCAATAAAGGCCTTTAAAGGTCACCTATTAACTTATTTTTATGGCACACACAGTTATGAGGCTTGACATATATATTTTGTATTATCTAAAAAAAATTTAATCTTTTACATTTAATGGAAATTTGGGGGATTTTAGTTGTACCCTAAAATATTATTTTAATTTCCAACATAAAAAATTGCATCTATCATTTTTGTTCTACAGGCCCACTGCTTTCAGAAAAAATAAATATATATATGCAAGCAGTATTCCAAATACCTGAATTTGAGCTGATATCGGCCCTTTTCTGTCTCTGTATAGTGGGGCTGGAGTGTGGGAGGAAAAAGCAGGACAAGGAGCCAATCCGTTCATGCGCTGACCAGAAGAATGCTGATAGGCGTTAAAGTGGTTCTAAAGGCTCAAGATTTTTTACCTTGTGTGTGTGCAGCTCCCCCTTCAGCCCCCCTAATACTTGAGCCCCATTGTGATCCAGCAATGTGCACAGGGGACGTCTCCAATTAATGAGATAGGGGGCAGTGCTCGGTGTGTTTATGGACACTGAGAGCAGCGGCTCAGGAGCGAGCCTGCTGGGGTACCCCCACAGCAAGCTGCTTGCAGTGGGGGGCACTAGGTAGGAGGGAGGAGCCAGGAGCCCCGGTGGGGACCCGAGAAGAGGAGAATCAGGCTGCTCTGTGCAAAACCACTGCACAGAGCAGGTAAATATAACATGCTTGGGGGGTTATATCACTTTAAAAGCAAAATGAAAGAGAGAAGCTCATCACTGTGCTGCTTCCCTTTCTACTGTCCAGCCCCAGGTTGTGGGGTGGGTCCAGGGCAACCTGGGCTTAAAAGAAGTGGTTTAAATCACAGTGGCCATCAAACTATGGACATTTAGCGGCAGATAGATACTGTGATGAAAATCTTTGTATTGAAGGTCAATAGTGCAGCAAAAGCTGATTTTGTTGTTTTATTTTTACTGAGCTGTTTGTTTTTATCAAGGTTGTTTTTGGCTGAGGTTTCACAGGAGAAGCACAGCCAAAAAAAGCTTTGGCTGTACTTCTCCTGTGGATCACAGGCGTGCAGTTCGTTCTGCACTCCTGTGATCCGTTTTCAGCTGACAGCAGACTGTCCACTGTCAGCTGACATCATTCAGCCAGTCCAGGCTGGGGAAAGATCCCAACTTCAAAGTTGGGATCCACCCAAGAATTTAGAGTGGCACTCGGCTAAGCCTGAGTCAGCCGCTCCCTCCTCTACAGTCCGCTGTGGGGTTGAGCAGAGAGCGGTGACTGACAGTCCTGGTCTCTGCTCAGAGCGGAGAGGAGAACTGCATCCACCTAGGTAAGTATAAACAGGGAAAAAAGCCCTACTTCTCTTTTAAGTAAACCATGGCATGTGAGTAAAAACAATTTTATGAAAAACTTGGCTTGGAAACAAAAGCACGAAAATTATCTTTTTTGTTGGCAAAACATTTGAAAGTTTTTAGGTACTTTTGCTAATGTGCTTTTTATGAGAATTCCATTTCACTTGTCTTTCAAAGTGATTCTTCCCCATTTGAGATCTCCCTGTTGCTGACCTAAAAATAAATACACTCTTCTTCAAATGTCAATGGGGAGGATTTCTAATTGATCCCTCAGCTTATGACATTGCCCTTGTTACCAGCTGTGCTTCAAACCATGGTCTGATCACCTGTTTATACTGTACATAGGTCATCCACTGGAAGGATACGTGTTGGCATTCAGTCAGCAGCTTGGCTGCAAAATTGGGAAAGTATTTTTTTTTAATGTGATTTCACTTTTTCCTCACTTTATTGTATGCAAATTGTTGTAGTTTAGCCAGTGATCATGTAGGTTTGACATTCCAGTGACTCTTTGTTCCTGCTTAAAGTGCACGTATAGCAAAGTTCTGAATACATTGGGGAATTTTTTTTTTTTTTTGGTGTATGTGTTTCAATGAGAAGATTTCCCTTTACTTCTTTCCCAGTTACATAAGGCATGTTGTGAATAACTGCACAATTGCACTGTCATTGTTTGCGCTCTTAACTGTCAAGCCATCAAATGGTTGGTGTCATAACTGATCACATGTGCAGCATCATGGCAGTTACAGATCAAACAGAGGCTAAAGATGGCAGCTTCCTTGACTGTAAAGGATAGGAGGGTTTAGTACCGTTTTTAAAGCTAGGGGATGTCTTGTCTTTGACAGTTGACACCAGAACAGGTTTCCCCATTTTGAAGCTTTAAACAAAAATAAAAAGTGCTAGAATTCCCATGACTTTCTGTACTGAAGCCAGTGGTCATTCCCCCCCTGCTAACTGCAGCTGCTGCAAACCAAAGGAGGTTTGAGTTCAGGATAGAGAGTGGGATCGGGGGGAATTATGTAAATATGTCATAAACTGGTTTACAGAGCAGCTGACACTGTAGAGAAAATGATTGAGGAGTTTGTCCCCTGTTCATTTCTCGCTCTCAAAAATGAGACCTCAGAGGTCTATTTAGACCCCTGATATTTCAGTGAAGCTCCCCCAACAGGGCTGTAAAAAAGCATTTGGATTGCTCTTCAGGGAGCATTTGACACAGTGAGGAGGCGTTGTATTGCATCCACCCCACCTGCTTTACCCCTTCAACCCCACACTAGCGCGCCACAACTGTGCGCATTGAATGCGGTTGTGGGGGCGCTTGCAGAGCAGCGCCATTCATTTGAATAGGTCATGTTCAACAGGAGGTATAGTTTCTGCCG